GGACCAGACTCTGCCGTAAATTCGGGATGGGATTTAGAAAAAAAATAAAATGGGACTTTTAAGGTGTGAATGGGTAAGCTTTGTTTCGACAATGAGCAGTTATCACTGTAAACAATGTTAAATTATTCTTCACATGTTCAGTTTATTTTTTGAGAACAATTATTTAAAAATAAAATCTCTCAGTCAATCAGAAACTCGGATTCATGCCTTCAGGGAAAGTTATGTTTGGACGCTCACATCGATTTTGTTTTTTGTTCGGTGGGCTGATGCCTTCAGTGTAGCTTTTGCCTCTTCCGACATAGAAATCATCTGAATCTTCTTTCTACCTGTCTTTCTTTTCACACCACGCATAATGTAATGATAACAATTAGGAAAAAACGCTGAGGAAATATGTTTGGTTTGCTAGCGAGTGAGACCTGATTTGAGAACAATTGCATATGCGCGTGAATTGAATGAACTATGACCCGTACAATCTCGATTTGCATATTGTCAATCAAAGGTCCTGTTATTTGGTTACTCATGCAAATTAGGCAATTGGACATAAACATTGCCACATGTGAGTGTTTTTTATTTTTAACCAGAAAATAAACAGCAATTTTAACGGTGTTCCAATAAGAATTCATTGGTCAAATTTTCACAGAATGTTCTTTAGATAAAGATCTATATAAAAAAAGAAAAAAACTATTTTTGATTGAAATTCACAAATAAACTACATCTCTACCTTAAATTACATTAAGCTGTGCTACACACAGTTCATCGCAGTCATATATGAACTACAATATACAGTATTGGGGAAACCCCTTCATTGTGGTAAAATACTCCCTAGGTTTCTTTTTTCTTCTTCTTGGTATCCCTATGTGTATGCAAATTATTACAAATATTTTTTTAAGAGAAAGATAATACAATGAATATTTTTAGGTCTAAATACATAAATTTAAATATAATTATTCTCTGATAGTTTGCATGTAGTTAATAAAATAATTGTGTCACCCCAATTTTCTGTTTTCATCCAAAATACTATGTCAGTTATTGAAATGAAGTACATGTAGTGTGATAGTTGAGAGATTTATTGCTGTAGGCTGTCTTTCCTTCTCGTATTCACACCAGTTGCATTTGACTCCCCTCTTCCATGATATTAATTGTCAGCATACACATATCGATGTCAGTTTTCTAGTCTATAAATATATTGACAGCAACACAGCATGATAGTCAGCACATCACAACCAATGAATTGTCTTATAATTTAAGAAGCTGGCAGCTATTTCATCCATGGAATGCGTTTTCTCTCACTCGTTGTAAACTCGTACATTGATGAGTTGATTATGTTGAGCGAGTGTTGTCGATTCTCAACTCGGAACTTGTATCTTGAGTCTATGTTTTGCAACAATCAGAACATTTGTTGTCAATTCTAAACTTGGAACTCTGGTGTTGATTCTTTCTTTCGCAATGCTCAACATATTTATTAATGATTCTCAGCTCAATGCTCGTTGTTGGTGGTTATAAATTCAGAACATTGTTGTTCTTACTTATCAACTTGTCATCGTTTTCGAACATGGGACTTAACTGTACAACACAGGTAGGGTACTGTCTCTAGTTACTCAAGATTGTTTTTAGTAATGATGACTGAATTTTTGAGGGTGTGTATAGATACAATGTCACCTATATTTGTATATATACATGTAGAAAGAATATTCATCTCCATCCTTGGGAGAAATCATAAGCTAGGTGGTTTATACATGTTTGCTTTGTTTGTTTGTTTGATCAATACAGCACAGTTCAAGTGTACCATATTTGCTTTATTAGAAGTGCATATAAACCAAACATTGTATCTGTTGTCTACTGAATCTTCAAAATATTATTCATTTTGACCTCAGAATCACCTCTGTATTTTACTCAAATGCATGGACTACCATAAAATCAGTATTAGAAGCCGTATCCCTAATAGAAGCCACATCCATTCTTTTTGAACAATTTTGTGGGGGAAACTGCCACAAACAGTATAGGATCTTTAAATCTCACCAGATAGACTGTAGATACATCAAGCAGTAGACGGTATACCAGTGTGCAATGTTCTAATGGTGAACACGCATTTATTCAGTTGTACAGCAACGAGATAGAGCTAGTTGAAAAACTACATAGGCTAGGACGATTTGGAACAATCATGGAACTATAAACCCCAGGAAGAACAACCACTTCGTTTCCTTTGAACTATGATAGTTGCCGCGATGTCGAATGTTTATTTTGACTGTTTATTTTGTCGCATTAAAAAATAAGCCGATTTACGCAAATGAACGTTTATCTCCGACTATCGGTCATTTTCGGAGTCAATCGGATGACTCCGGGAGATCACGTGACCGAGTTGTTCCGGTTATAGCATAAAAAAACAATGGCGCCAAGACAAAAACACTGATAAATGATCGACATTCAACGGGAAAAAAAAAACACATTGCCACTTCTGGCGATCGAAGGGAAACACGGAATTAGTCGGGATATCTCAACAACAAACAGATCACCAAACCCCATGTTTCGCAAACTTTCACAACCTTATTTTTTCGAGGGTTGAAAAAAACAAGAAGTAATCTAAAAACAACATTAAAAATTATGAAAACTCGCTAAAACTCCGACCCGTTGCATGATTTCCGGTACACTGAAGGTCACCCTGCAGACCGACTTGTTTGCGCATGCGTAGTGAACGAAATATTTTACTGCGCAGATATGAAATTTTTTTTTCAAGTTTTCCGTTTTTCCAGCAAAGCGGTTGAAACGGGCGTATCGGCGGCAACTAACATGGAGTATGACTAATGTCGTGGAAACAAAAGCGAAAGCACTGTAAGATAAACTAAGACAAAGGTTTTTTTAATCCTCTTAGTTTCGTTGTTCTTCCTGGGGTTTATAGTTCCATGGAACAATGTATCACTTGGAGTACAAAGGATGAAGTCTGTCTTAATTAACACTTTGTCAATTTAAAGAAAAGGCTGGATTCACACCTAGAATTTTAATCCTTGGCGTCAATATGATTGGTTGTTTTAATTGAGCCAATCAGGGAGAACACACTTGTGCAAACTGATAGAAATGGCTGAATACAGGCCAAAGTGTGTTTCTTTGCGTCACGAAAACAGCATAAATCTATAGAAACTTTGACTACAACTACTCAATTTTGATAACATAACTGGAGATAATAAACACTGACAGTTACATACAACAATGAAGTAAATCTGATAAAAAGAAGCGAAGTTAGGTTAAATAACATGAAAAATATATGTATCCACATGGTAATAACGATAAATTTAGACCCAAAAATTCACTTTCTCATATGTGTAGATGCTCTAATTGAAGCCGCATCCCCTTTGTTGTATTGTACCATTTTATTAGAAGCCGCGGCTTTTAATACAGATTTTACAGTATTATTACTAATAGAGCAAATATGATAACATTTAACTAACTTAGCTTGCTTTCAAAGCCATGTCTCATATTAGTAACATTGATTGATAAATACTACAAAAATTATGTTTGTATTATTGATAACAATAATACTTACTTTAAAAAATTGACTGTTCTGTATGATACTAAGTTGAACATCATATGTTTTATGTACACTCTCATTGCACTGTACATAGCACATTTTAAAGCAATTGTGGATAGGTTATTTCTCGTCTTGTCAGTGCCAGTACCAAAATAGTGATAAATTATTTATTTTTCTTAAATAATGTGATTATTATTATTATCATCTCAGTAATTGTTTGGTCTAATAGGAATGGCAGCCCATACATGTGTAACCAATGCATCTGTTGTCAACACTCATTGTTTAAGTTCTGTATAACAGCTGTCGGTGTACAATCACCATTACAAATACTGAATTAATTATATACACATCTCTGCTATTTCCATAAGTATATGCGCTACTAATAGAGCAAATACGGTATTTGTATTTCCTACTTTGCTATACAAGTCCCTATTTACAGTTCAAATGTCGATGTCAATGTAAACGCAGCAATTCTTTTTAGTTACCGGTAGCATGTCTTGGTAATTAAGTCTCTGAAAATTTCTTAAATGTAACTTCTGCTGTTCTGGAGTTAGACAAGCCCTGACTGTTCTTGTTCAAACTTTATACATTTATATAACTTGATATCCCATAGGGATTATGTAATGAAATTACTTGTTTATTTGGCCTTTAATCTTAGTCCATATGAGAGTGTAGCCTGAGCACAACTACAGTATATACACACCTTTGTAATGCACTATTAATATAGCAAATACGATATCTTTTGAACATTTGTTAATGAATGTAAATTGACTTGTTAGTGTGCATTACACCATGTATAATTTATGTTCTTACAAATGAAAGCCCAGGTGGTATGATACGAAAACACCTGGCACCAAGTAGGTACATTGTATATGTTATAACATGGTAAACGTATGTGCAGTTATGACATAGAAACTTATTTAGTAAGTCATTGTTCTGATCTGGAATTCTCAGTATAGTATGTGTGTTTGATTCAGCAGTGTAATATTCTTTGTTTCCTCTGAGTTTGTAAGATGGAGTGAAAAAGTTGCACACGTTGAAGCCACTGTAGAATTGCTGAGTCAATGCATGACTCGTTTATCTAATGTACTGAGTGAGTTTGTACTGCATGCATTGAGAAGACTACAAACCACCACAATCTCTATTACCTTGATGTAGTAATCCAAACACAAAATATTGTCATTTGTCAACATTTTCGTAGCTAAAACTGTGAATTATTTGAAGGTGCTTGCAAGGGTGAAATGTTCACTGCGACAAAGTTTCACAATATTCCCAGAATATCTCTGATAAATGTAAAATAGTTTACTCTGGTGGATGAAATCAACCCACATTTCTTTTTACTTGATTATATAGATTGCTTAGTATCCTTTGATTCTGCAAAAACCATCTCACTAATCTGTCATTATCTATTACAGATCACTGATGGTGACCGCATAGCCGCAGGGAGCAGACCGTTTGTGAGACAAAGTAGTGGTGGTAAAAAGCAGCTGCCAGCGGTTCCAGATGCTGAGGCTCAGTTTAACTCTCAGAGAATGATAGAGAAAAGACACGCCTCAGCCACAATGTCAAACGGAGCAACTACATCATATGGACCATTCTTTTTAGAGTATTCACTTTTAGCTGAATAGTAAGTAACATATCTGTTTTTATATACAATAGTGCATTTACTGAGCATATTACATTGCGGGAGAAATATTACCATTAAATATAATGCATTTGCTCTCTATCGATAAATTCCATATTTACTCTTTAGAAGTGAAAATATTTATATAAAGGATCTGTTCAAAAATGGGTCAGTGTGAGTTAGATGAACCTAAACTTAAAGCAAATATTGTTTGCACACATGTACATTTACCGAGATTGAATCTAGATTTGTGACAATGTTAGAATTCATAACTAGTAACAATGTTCATTTCCATGATACTGAACAAGATTTTTAGCTCCGCTGTCGACTTTGTCGAGCGGAGCTTATCATATGAGTGATTGTCCGTCGTCCGTGTCAATGTTTTACTTTTTCAACTTCTTCTTAAAAACTACAAGCCTGAATGCTTTGATACTTGGTGTACATGTACCTTGAGTAGACCTCTCTTAGGTTTGTTCATTTCATGTTGATATCTTCAATTCTCTAATTTTGGTGAATATTTTTGTCATTTTTGTGTAAAAAGTGATGTTTTCGACTTCTTGTTAAAAACTGCAAGTGCAATTGCTTTGATATTACATATATAGGTACTACATGTGGACTTTTCTCAGATTTGTTCATTTCATGATGATATCTTCAATTCTCTAATTTTGGTGAATATTTTTGTCATTTTTGGTAAAAAAGTGATATTTTTGACTTCTTGTTAAAAACTGTAAGTCAGATTGCTTTGATACTATACATATTGCTCATTTTCTAGTGATGTCTTCAGTTCTTTAATTGAAATGTGCATTGCTAACAGCGGAGCTATCTCAGCCGACAGGCTGCTTGTTTTATAGATGTTATGAAGCCATAAAAAACAACGCCGAAACAAAGAAATAATGTCTGTGCTCGCAGCAACCAAGAGGTTGTAACCTGTACTAGGCTGGAAAGTTGCAGTTTTCTCGACTTGCCTGTGAGATTAGGGTTAGGGTCTTTGTCACATGACTGTCAGTTTTCACACTCCAGACACACTGTCCTGTTTTTACATTTCAGTAATCAACTTTTGAAGCAGAGATTACCAGGTGTATACGTTTTACCTTCCGCCAGATCTGCACTGTGTAAGTACACTCAGAACTAAAGTATGAATTACTGGGGTGAAGTTGTAAATTATTCATCGATTTATGTACTTGGGCAACTAAACAACAGGTAGTTCATCAGTTAGGATGATGAACTCTGCATGCTTGAAAATGTCACCTGTTACAAATACTTATTTTGACCTGTCTGTCCATAAACCAAATTAGAAATGTATTATTTAAATGGATGCAATATAAAATTTAATCCATTCATGTCATTTTTATATCCTATTGGTGTCATTTTAAATACAGGGTTGATTACAGTTGATAACCGTAAGTTGCAATGGTTGCAACACTGATTACTAAACAATTCCTGTATTTATCTTTTTTTTTTTCAGTATGGTTTGGCGTTCTATTTATAAGACAAGGGCTTTATCAAGAAGGAGTTTTTAAATTTACATTAACAATACCAGAGAACTATCCTGATGGGGACTGTCCTGTAAGTTATTCTCTTTGTTTAATTACATTTTGTGGCATATATTTATGATGATAACATTTTGGATTTTGGCATTCCCATGATGTATCCTTGGGAGGAAAAGATGTATAAAAATAAGTTTATTACCAGGATATGCAAAGTATGCATTCGAACAGTACACCGTCGCATTGACCTCCGCTGCACGTCAGTCGATATTCGCACTGTACTGTCTATGTGCATACTTTGAGGTATCCTCGTAATAACCTCATATTATGCATACAGTAAAGGCATTTTGATATAGCACTTAGTGGAAAATTCAAAATCACGATGTTCGGTCTGCGTCTTCCATGCATTACGCAAGATCTCGCAGTGAACGGGAAATCACCGAGCTGATAAATAACTGAGTTTTGTATGTTGTTGACTCACAGAGATTGGTGTTTGACCCGCCAGTTTACCATCCAATTATTGATGCTATATCAGGAGAACTAGACGTGAAGAGAACATTTACAAAGTGGAAACGTAATGTCAATCATATTTGGCAAGTTTTACTATATGCAAGGAGAATCTTTTATAAAATAGATACAAAGAATCCATCCAACCCGGAAGCTGCTGTCTTGTGAGTAATAATCATTGTTAACCATGGTTTTATTTAAGAATACCTGTTTGCTTTTTGAGTAGTATGTGTTGTATGTGTATGTAAATAACAGATCTAGTTGTGTCTATGGTTGTAATATGTCATAAATGTAATTTTTGGTTTATGTGCAAATGTGGTAGTGGTTGTCCCGTTAGGTAGCATATTCAAAATATCACAACTTTCTTTTATTGTGCTTGTGTATCCTTTACAGAATTTGTAGCTCTTCGGCTAATTGTGTTACTGTGTCTGTGTCTGAATCATTAGTTTATCTTACTCCCCTCATCTCTCTGTGCTAGATATGAACAAGATCTGGATCTTTTCCGGGACAAAGTAGCACAAAGTATAGAATACTGTAGAAGTCATCGTTATGATCCACCTAAAACAGATGATCCTCATGAAGTGACGTTTAGTCAGTGGGACCCTGAGATGCATGCCAAAGCCAAAGATGCAGTCTTTGGAATACAGAGGGTGAGTATGTAAATAGATGTTAACTAGATACTGGCAGGGTAACAAAGTTGAGAATTTATTTGTTGAGAATACTATTTCCATGTGAAAAAGCAGATAATGCTAATATGCACAAGACTACTAATAGATTTTCCATAGGAAAACAATATTTGGTAATTCAAAATACTAGTATTTGTTAAGTTAAACGCTTATTATCTGTAGTCTTGTTATATTTATTATCAACACATCTTAAAATGGCCATAATCAAAGATACAAGTTTGTAGAAGAATCCATCAAGTGATCGTTATTTCAGTTAAAAATAAATAGCACAAGGTCAAGTGTTGTTTATAAGTTTCCAACCCAAATATCACGGTTTACATAAATACACTCTGTCATTTGCTCATTAATAATTTAATACATACCATGTGACATTGTAAGGACTATTCTAATGCTTGTATTTGCTGAGAACTTCCATTGGAATCTGCAATAGCTCTGTCATTAGAAGCATCCTACTTCCTGTGGTTGATGTTATATTTTCAAACTTGACCCTTGGCCAACTTTCTCAATAGTTGAAAAAGATCTCTATCTTCTTGTCAATTCCAAACATAGCACCTTGACTGAAGCTTCATCAAAACAATTCTACACAGTATATGCCAACAAAATATAACTTTACTTTTAATACTTTACTTTACAGCTAAAGCAACAACAAAGCATTGATGGGAGTAAGAATGCTCAGACATCAGGGTTGTCGTGGGTACAGCCAGGGACTATGGATATATTCAGCAAAGATGACACTGCCATATAGTTGTGTTTTTTTCGTTGACTTGAATCTATGTGACTATGTCCACTTTTACTGCTGAGCTAATCCTCAGAACAAATCACAATCATCGGTACAGCTTTACAAAGACTAGTGATATATATGTTGTTTTTCAGTAGCTTTGTTATCATGTAGTCTTATTGTGTGATATTCATTGAATGGTTTCCTGGGAAATATACTGCCATTGTTTTCAAAGTTTGTTGCTCTAATAATGAGCCTCCAATTGCAATAATGTTTGTTACATGTAGATAAACCTCATGACTGACACACAGAACCAGATAACACCTCCTTTAAGTAGCACTCTTGTTTTTGTTGTTGTGTTGAAGCAGAAACCAGATACACATACAAAGGATTCACTTTGTGCTTTGCAGCTCCCTGTGATTGATGCACGTTTGTAAGCTTACTTATGAGTCCTGTCTTAGATACCACGTCAACACGTACAATTTGCTTTTATCGAATAACTTTTTTTCATGACACGACTACTCAGGTATAGTAGTTTGAAATTATTAACACTTAATATTTAACTTTTGAACACCTTGCTGACATGTCATTAAACTTTAACAAGCTTTGGTATGCTCATTCTCATCCAGATTTCCAATAATCGTTGATCAACGCATTTGAACAATAACGAATTTATTAAGTTATCATTGCTCCTTTATTCGATAAAGGAAAGTTAGTAATGAATGTGTTCACCATTAACTTTTATACTACCATATTTAATTTAGAAAAAAATATATTTATAAGAAGGGGTGAAGGTAAAGTATTTTTACAAATCTTAAACTAATTTAAAAACTGATATGTATTTTAGATATTAGCGTGTATTATAGTAACATTCAACTTTTTATGAAAGATATTGACTACAAATATTATGTATATAAATTGTACAATTGATTTTTTTGAAGTTATTTGAAGACAGTCAAATGCATGCAGGCAGGCTTCTGGTTAATGAGGGGCATGCCTTATGCAGTGCACTGGGCATGCATCCCCTAGCTAGTTGACTTATTAAACAGCATTTGTTTGCCTGTGTGTAGATTTAAAGTTGATTTTCATTCTGTTTTATTACTTTATGTATCATTAAGTTACACACTTGGTACAGGTATTGTTTAATGTACAAAGATATACACATCAATCCCTGGGATTCGATCAAGGCTTTGCGGGATACCATTTTTGTTCAGTGAATGAATTTGATTTTGTTCACTTGAAATATGTAAAATCAAGCAGTTCCAGAGAGCTCTTCAGAACTAATAAATATACTACATTTGAGCTAATTACAAAGGCTCTTCCTGGAGGCTTCTGATTCTATGGTGCAGTGACACACTTTTCCAAAGTGACGTGTGAGCGGACCAGAATAAAATTATGGGATGAAGTTTTCTTAATTGTATCCACAGTAGTAAAAAAAATGTGCCTTATATATATATATATCACTTTGGATTGGTTTCCCTCACTGGATTTCGAAACATGTTCATGTAATTACTTTATACAATTTGATGTAATTATTCACTGGGTTTTAATTTATTTCTTCACAAATAGAATTTCTCTGCTACAACAAATCCTATAAATGAAACTTGCACCATATATACTGTATTATGTCTATATCTATGTTAAACATGACTGTTTTTTTCCTGATTGCTGTTTTGATCAGGCTCCCCAGATACCAAGTTGTTTTTGAATTTAATTGATGTACGTGTTTTAGTAGACAGCATCTTTTATTACTGTATTTCTATGAAAAAAGCTAAATTTTTAATTACTTTTATCTGTGTGCAATTTCAATAAAGCACTATTTACCACAAGATGTGTTAGTATCTTGTTTACCCCCCCCCCCCCCCCATTGATTGCCTAACAAACAAGCTGCTCTCTGATTGGTCTGACAGTCTTGTAAGAAGCTGTGCATTGACTCAGATTTTTAAATATCAGCAACCTCTCATCAGATATCATGGTCCGCATGGATCTGATTGCATTAGGATTGAAATTAAATACCTGATTTGCATAAATTAGGCAACTTTTAGATATTTCAATTATTTTGTATATAGGTGCTCTAAAATAATCCAAATATGATTATTTTAAGATTGAAACCCTGCATATTGCTTATTTTCCATAAATTAAACTTTCTAATACTTGTGTATACATTCAGGTGTTATCACACAAAACAGATATACAATCAAATGTAGTTTTTGATTCCTGTGCTTGAAGCACACAATTGGAGTCTTTGTAGTTACCCTGCCTGTGTGTATGTCTGTTTCACAGATATCTGGTGCTCTGGACAATGAACAATACTAATTAGTAAAAATACATGAATAATAATTAGTCAATTTTTTTATATTTCAATGAAATTTAGAACACTGGTGCCTGAGGGAAATGCATAGACCTGATCAGTTTTGCATTAAAATCTGTTCATATAAATTACCTAATTTGCCTGGGTTTTTCCAATGACATACTAATTATCTTATTTACATGATATACATAATAAATTTCAATTAAATTTGGTGAAAATGTGCTTTAGGGTACTCTACAGATGTGATTAGTTTAATGCATATTGATTTCTGATATCTTGTGGTTAGGATTGGTGCTCTGGAATAAATCAGACTTCAAACCACAGATGTAAAATCAAATTTATTTTCTTTAAGTATTATAAACTTTAATACTGTGATTAACAATGTTCTCACATTGTACATTTCAAATATTAGTCAGGCTCACCTTGAAATGGCAATGTTATTTTGATTAACTTTGTACCTTGTGTAAGTTTATTCAATTGGTGAAACCTAGATTTGATTAGTGAATTTGGTATATGGCGCCCTCTGGTGTTCAGAATACATTCTATCAAACTTGAACAAGTTTTCCCGAGAATGCTCACAGCTGATCTCTTTGAACAGGACTCCTAGAAACATTGCTAAATTATTCTCTGATAGGTTCTTTCAAATTCCTAAGAAAAGCCCATAGTACGCGCAACTACGTTTTGAATTAGGAATGAATCTCAGTAGGGTTTAATGCTTGAGGGGGGGGGGGGTGACTCCAAAGTAATTTTTCCATGGAAACAATTTTTATCTGCTTGAACTTTTCATTGGGCAAAATATCAAGAATTTGTAGTTTTTTAATATCTCAACATTTACTAGGTATACATGCGTCCAAATTGCAAGTACTCGTACTTCAAATCTGAAGTTTCCCATGTTGTATTTTTACTCGTATTAATGATATATTGTTCAGAATAAATGTATACTTTAGACTTGAGAGAAGTGTACAATTGACGGGAAATTGATGTTGAAAAGCACTCTTGTTTTGAGCTATCACTACTTTATTAATGAAACCCTGCAACATGGCGATACTCCCATGATGCATCTCAAGTAATGACTACTTTTTAATGAAGTCCTACAACATGGCAATACTCCCATAATGCATCTCAAGTAACGACTACTTTTTAATGAAACCCTACAACATGGCGA